TACAATTTTACAAAAAAAGGGTGGTTTTGTTAATTTTTTCCTCAGTACATGAATCTTTCCTCACAATAGCATTTGTTTGGCGATCGCATGTCATTGGTCCTTCTCATAGGTCTTGGCACCAAGGCAATACACCAAAATTTTCAACCGGAACTAGTTAAAATTGCTCAAAAACACTATTCAAAGATGGCCGTCAGCCTGAACACATCTCTGACATCTCTCAGGCAATATACCAATACCGCTTTGTGCAGAATTTCTTAGCTTTCTTTCCGTATCAAATTTGCCCGCACTTGCTGCATAATGGCCTCTCAACGAAGCGGTTATCGCAGTTTGCTGCTTTACGAGTACGAATTGGAACGCGTTACACAAACTGCCTCCGAGAATATCAACCGTGTAAGGAATCAAGGTTATGTGTGCAGACAACAGCGTTTCGGTTTTTCGTTGACTTGGGCGCCGGCAACACCAACATGAAGAGCCAGCTGCGCTACGGACGTCCACGCGAAGTTGATCGAGAGGAGGTTGACCAAACTGGGCTGAGAACCATTCGTACAGTCCTGACTTGTCTTACCTGACTAACAGCTCTTTCGGTCGCCGGTGCACTTCCTGGGGAAGAAGAAGCTCCCAGACATCACTCATTTGCGTCGAGAATTGACAACTTTTTTCAAATCCAAGGATGATGAATTTTATGAGTGCGGTATTGAACTGTTGCCTGAGAAATGGCAGAAATGTGTTCAGGCTGATGGCGCATACTTTGAATAGTGATTAAGCAATCTCAATTACTTCTGATCTATACATTTAGTGCCTATTGCTCTGGTGCTAGAACTTATAAGACTTAATCACACATGAGTGATCGCATGCATTGATATCAACGCGTAAGTGGAGGGTGGGCAGATTAGACCGTGTGCGTTGCAATATGTCAGCAGGAAGGTGACAGTTGATAGAAATACTAAAACGTCTCACTTGTTTTTTTCTGAAGAAAAGAAAACCCAATTTCAGGGATCTCAAGGAGTGGCGAAAGTAATGAAACTTTTGCAGGAAGAATTCATTCATACTATGCAACTAGCAGGTAAGAATCGTTGTAGCAGAAAGTACAGAACATTCCGCTATGTACTGGTTTCCATGCACACGCAGTAAAAAGAAGTATTTCACTTTTTCGTTTCTTGATGAACACCAATATGAGGAATATAGCACTTGGTACCCTTTCATCTCTTTCGATTCAGCATGCATGCGACTCCTTTCTCATCATCGTAGAAACGATTGAATGCATTTTCGGCCTATAAAATGACATGCTGTAAATTCAGTAAATATTTTTATCTTCACAAAAAATTCCGCTACCAGTTTGCAATCCAGTAGAATGTAGGGTTTGGTGACCTAAAACGGAAATCCGAGCTATAACCACTTCTGTATTTGTCTCTGCACACTGCGCTATGCCAAATCCGAAAAATAAATAAGATAAACGTTATTAATAGGTATGAAATATGCTACAGCCTTCAAACACGATTTCATTTGTCCGATTGTGCCAAGATTGGATCATTCGATTATCTTGAGCCTAAATCAACATTTTATTTTCGTAGAGTTTCGTATTTATTGTAACCAATCGGCCATGTGAACGAGAATTTGTGCAACATAACATGAAACCGTTACGAATTGGGGTAATTATTTTTACGGCTACCGAGTGACTGTTTAAAAAGCCTGTCAATCCTTCCTTATTGAGAATTTGAGGGTTCACTTCAAGAAATAAAAGCGCTTTCTAATTTTTATTTATATGACCCGTCTGCGCGAATCATATGACTTCTCCCATTTAGGTCTTTACCTCAAAACCGTCATCTGGGAAATCATTGCATGTGCGTATGATGCGCTAACCATTCTATCTCAGGAATGCCCCATTGACAGTTGGGCGAGTTGACCTCCCCTTCCCCGTGGAACATTTAGGATAACTCTGATGACCGTTTTTAGCTCTTTACCAAATCGGTCATCATGGTGCTTTTTGAATCGCAAAGATGTCTTCGCAGACAAGTCTGATACGAACTTTTCAACACCGAAAAGATAAGAAACTTGTTGGCCATGTAGGGACTCGAACCTTCTATACGCTTATTACTGCATGTTACCTGTAGGCCACTACTATTTTTTTGAAAAGAATTTAAGTAAAAATCAAATTCTAAAAAAACACAGAAACACGATAGGGTCTTCTTTATAGACCCCTATCATTCTGGTGGGAACGACTCTAGACAACAGATAAGATAATTTTCGAGGAAACTAGTACCACCATAAGCGCGTTAGAAATGGAGATTTTCTAATACTTGAGTATCCTACCCTATTTAAGTGGGCGGTTGTGGGGCAGTGGTTAGGGGTGCCCTACAACACACGCGTGATATATGGCTCGATCCCGCGTCACCCAAGACTCGCCAAACCTCCCCTCCCCCCGCGTTCGGCGAGTCGGAACCAGGGTGGTCTTTAATGCATTTCAATCACCCCTAACAATGCTTGATAAAGTCGAATGCGCGACACATATTTCATGCATGCATCAGTGCCGAGGGCTTAATTTCTCCTGATTTCCTCTCTTTACAGGTTGCCGTTCAATCGAGGAGATTCGTAACTGCACGGATATTGTTGTAAGCAGTAAATACTATGCAAAATTATGACTCAAAACAATAAATAATTGAATAATGTAGCCTAAAGTACAATTCATTGATGCCATTTCGCTGTTTGTCTGAACGCGAAAGGTAAGATGTATGTGAATCGACATTCGATCATGCGTACTTTCAACTGAATAAACGACTGTTATGCGCCATTCCATTATTGTTAACCTCCATCAGATCACTGTCGAGCTGCCTATCATAAGTTTGAAGATAGCGAAGACAATCTCTTCAGTGGCAACAGGAACTAGTGTAACATCGTCACTTCATCCATCAAAACGTACCCAGACAAGTATTGGATGTTATCTTTAATCCTTGTGGCCAAAATGGAATATTTAGTATCACGCCAAACGACGCCGCACCTGCTTAGCTCCTGGCGGCGTCGTGCCTCGAGTCGAACTTGTATGGGCACGAGCTGGCAGTGGAAATCACGGAATTTACTTGGTAAATTCAGGTTTTAGTGTACATTGTCTCAGCTAAACCATGAAATACCAGTGAAGAATTCCGATAAGGATGATCAAACAGAATTCTTTCTATCTAATTTCTATTCCTTCTTCTATGTTGAACGGTCACCTCTTAGTAGGTGACTATTTGAGATGAAAGCACGACGGACTCTGCTGATCAACACAAACCGGATGCGTTGAATTATCAGTTGAGATAGTTATCTGCAGTGATAATTCGAATTACAAATTCATTGTCGGTGACCTCAATGCCAGAATAGAGAGGCAAACGAGAGCGAATATAGGAGTGGAAAGTTTGGATTAAAAGAATGAATTTAGAAAGGGAACCGTCTTGCAGGACTCTTGTCTGCAGCACGTCTCTTCCACAGAAATTCACTTTGCAGAAGAAACAACACCGCCGCTGGTCATAGGAGTCATTTAATGGCACGACATATGCGGAGATTGGTCATATACTCACAAACAGAAGATAGTACCTTTTTAATATACCCCTAGTCCCATCATTTTGTACTGAGTCAACCAACTGCCTTCTTTGCGCAAAGATTGGATTCAGTCGGGCGCTTTTTTGGAAGTCAAGCCATCGACCGGGAAGAAATTGTGAAGACGGGCCGTTCGATTATCCAAGTATTCAAGTAAGCAAGATCGCAAGCCGACCAGACTGTCTCAGAATGTGGCTGTGGCAGCATTCAGCATGTCGATGGAAAGGAAAGACGATTTTTTGAAGTGCCTAATAATGAGACGAATGGAAGAACTTCTGAGGGCTTGTAAGCGATCACCATGTAAGCTTCATCTTATCTTGGATAAGCCAAAAGAAGATACTCGATGAAGAGAAATTGTGGTAAAAACATCACTGATTTCGAAAATCAATCATTTTTCACTTTCAATAACATTTTTTGCTTATGAAATTGCTACCAAAACTATCTACACTAAATTGTTTCGATGAAAAAGCGTCCGAGCATAACCGAGCACCAGCTACTGTTATCAACTACACTGAGGAAATCATTACACCAGGACGCTTTCGGAATAGATTTTTTCCCCGACACTGCGTTTTCGATTTACGAACTAATCTTCTAAATTGATCGTCGGTTTACTACTTCAACCCTTTGGGGACGGCGTGCAACCTTTTGGTTCCTTGAACATTCGAAGGAGCTTCCGTCTAACAGAGCCTTTATTTTGAACTCTCATAGATCATAGTGGATTAGATTGAAATAGCATAACTCTAATAGTATAAATATTTCCTTGAAAGGCCTTTTCAGTGAGCTGTAGCAATGTATTGAGAATAACGATCGACACGCGCAAAAGTAAGCTCGTTGTTGGAACTATAGAAAGTTCATTCGATAACATAAAATAAAAATAAAAAGCTGATAGAATATAGTCTCTTCTACAATTTTATGGAGGTCCCAGGACTTGAAGTGCACAAGTAATCAAAATATCATCAAGAAATATAGATGAACCGACATCGCATGTGATGCGCAGTAGCATTTATGATAAGTTTCTATCGTATACTCAGTGATGATGAAAGATATCCAAAAATTCGACCTCAGTCGGGAGATGAACCCACGTTTCATCCGTACTGTAGGCGCCTGCTAGCACTACGTCACTGAGGCCACCGCTCTGCTAGACTTTCTTGAATATTATTCATCATGGATGTCAGCAACCAACCTTTGACGGATTTGACCTAATGGCACATATCGGCACCGAATCCACTGGGTGTATAATTGCAGCAAGATGACGTCATGTAACTAGAATGGAGTATAATGAAATCTTGTTGATCGTATATAAATTCAATAGCTCCAGGTCCAGTTGGATTTGATGATTATATGTGCTTACCAAGCCAGATCCGTTAACAGCTGGTTGCTGAATGCTTAGATCCTTTTTATAAAACAAAAAAGTAACTGCAGGCTGGATGGCCCCCGTGGTGTAGTGGTAGCACGCGCCTCTGATATGGGTGAGACCTAAGTTCAACCATGTCTTTCTAAGGTGGAATATCTTGCATATCGCCCAGCATCATTCGAACATCATTATAGCATTATGACGTTGCTGAGTGAGAGGCAAAATAGAGATTTTTATAAATTTTTCATTGTTTTCCTAATTGTTTGCACATATAAGAGCTATGTGTGCATAAAAACATGTGAGGGCATAGAGAAAGACATAGAATGTTAAAGTGATAAGACAGACTTTGAAATTTTTTCGGAACGAAGAACATACCTGACTGAGTAAAGAAAATCGCTCCTGCCAAATCGCGCGCAATGATTCAACCGTCCTCTTAGAAGGAAACAATTTGCGTTATATGATTATGAATTCTTTCGCCATTTCAAAGAAATTTTTAGGCTTCTTCAAACATTCTGACACTCCACATTTTCTTTCTCACGTTCATATGCATATGCTTTAGGTGAGTGTATAACTTATGTAGGAGAGAAAGGCTCCGAGGGTGAGGCGTAATCTTTTCGTTCTTACAGCTCGCTGCAAAACTTTTTTTTTAAGAAGCTTGGTTCTGCTATCGACCGCTCTTTTACAGACCCGCTCAAAATGATTCAATCCGATAAGGAGATTACTTGTTTTGAGCCGATAGGTCTAGTGCTATATAGGCGCCTATTTCGTCCTAATGGGACTCATCAGTAGCACCCTCCCTCGGTTCCGCCGATCCCTTGAGGTGAAATAATCCTCTAACGGAATCGGCACCGAGTAAAAATTAAGCACCCAAAGTAGGATGATGGTATTACCTGTATACTTTGGTACCTATTGGTATGATACTAGACCTATCGGCTCAAAACAAGTAATATCCTTATCAGATTGAAACTTGGTTCTATAATCATCTTTTCTATGTCAAAAAGATTGAATCAAAAGTCCAGTGAAAAACAAGCATGAATGCCAGCCTAGCAATCAATGCACGCCGTCGATTATATATAATTCTCTTTCGGCTGCTACAACGTAGTGAAAACGCGTTACCAGAAGCACAGAAAGTGCTGAACTCATCGTTTTTACACAATCGAAGCAATACTAAAATTCAAGTGAAAAAGCTCTGTTTAGCGGAAAAGCTCTCCAAATAATCGTGCTTCCAAAAAGATTCACGTCAAACCCCAAGGAAAGAAGCATCTTTGCCAGGAACAATGATAGAGTAACAAAATAAGTTTTAATCAAAATTGATTTTATTCGACCGCACAGTGAGCTGGTATGATATTACGATAAACCCAATAATGTAGAATGGTGTGCAAAAATACTTGCTTTAGCTGGGACTTGAACCCAGATTTCACTTTTTCCGGGAGCGCTTACTGAATCGTTGTACTATCGACGTCCTTTTTGCACCCACTCTTTCTACGCTACAACGCGTTATCTGTCAACAGCTAACCGTCTACGGTCTGGCGTGGCAGTCACTATCAACATTGAATCCCCATATCCTGACAGATAATGGGTTTCAAATAATCAATCAGAATTCATTTTATTTGACCAGCGGTTCAGCACGCGCCCCCGGAAAGGTGATATCTGGGTTCGGATCCCAGCTGACGCAAATGTTTTTGCGCACCTACTCTACATTATCGGGTTTCTTGCAACATCATACCACCGCAATACGCGGTCAATTAAAATGAATTCTGATTGATTATTCGAGACCCAATATCTGTCAGCACAACTGGGTTCAATGTCGATAGTCACTGCAGCGCCAGACCGTAGACGTTGGCTGTTGGCAGATAACGCGTTCTAGCATAGAAAGAGTGGTGCGCAAAACGGGCGTCGGTAATGCAACGGTTCAGCACGCGCTACCGAGAAGAATGAGATCTGGGTTCGAATCCCGGCTGACGTGAATGTTTTTGAACACTACTCTACATTATTGAAATTGAGTTTTAGTTGGACGATATCCGAATTTCAGGTCATTCCGGCGACACTGGCTGCGCCTTAGACAGTGTGATTGATTTATGAATATGATAGCTAAATTCCCTCTGTCGGTGATAGCTTTCTAGTCGCATACGGCCAAGTGTGAATAGAACCTGCACCTCTACTCTGCTCACTCCATCAATGAAAAGTTCGCTTTCTCACATTCATTGTCCAAAAGGGCTTTCAAACTTTTCCTTTGTAGATTCGGCTGTACTTAAAAATTTGCTCGTGTTCGTCACCAATATCAATAAATGTTGGTCGAGGCGATTCTCTCTATAACACTGATACAGTTGGTCTAGAGCGTCTTAAACAACTGCTCTCAATCAAGTAGGCAGTAAATTCGAAACGTCAGAAAGATGGGAGCCTTAGTGAGCCTGATGAGGGGAAAACTATCATTGTGCTTATAATGAGCGATATTATCACTGTTGGCTGTACACACATAGTAATTGCACCATTTTCTGCGTCAGCTCTGATGATTACTCTCAAGTAGTTCTTCATTTTTGACGTTCCTCATCTTTGAGTCTCTCGTCTACTTTACAATTTTCTGAATTATCACTGCTTTGTATGTCCGTTATCAGTTCTTAGGCTATATGAGTTGCTGAAGTGGTGAGCTATCTTCATTGCTTTACAATCCGTTCTAAACTTGAATCATAATTCTTCAATTTACGTCTTGTCTAATATTCTTTTTATAGTCTAGAATAATTATCAAATAGGCAGTAAGTATTACGTCATTTGTAGCAAAACATAAATCAACAAATGTGTATTTCGATAACGTGTGACATAAACACATCTATCTGAGAATAAAATCTAACAATGATTTGTAATTCACGATCTAGAATCGCAATTAATTTTACACCAATTTGGTATACACCGTAATAGACAATGAAGAAAACGCATAGCAGTTGTTATCCTTATACTGATAACCAAATAGTTCATCAATTTACTTTATTTCTTATTATTGCACTCTATGAATTTGTCTCTTCCCTAGCTGAATAACGCCAGTATGAATGGCACGCCCTGGTAACGGGTACAAGTTCCATCTCAGACCAAATGAGTAATCCTAGTGATCATAATAATCTGTAGCGGTCCCACTACTTACTTGCTACATGTTCAATCCTCGGATTCTTATATGAAGTCCTTTTGGTCGCTCTTTCGAAGCCATTCAAATCGTGGACGATGACCCTTTTAGAAAATACCAGTATGATTTCAGATTTTTTTCATCATCTCCACTCTTGTTTGTATGTAAAAAGCGGAAATTCTCACAGAGATTTTGATAATGATTATACGATGTCGAAATCGATGTTCAAGGAAGAGCTCATGTTGACGAGAACGTCGGCGGACATCAATCCGGTCATTGTTTTGCTATCGAACTCAATTTTCTTAGCTAGTATGTGCGATTCTGATGTCTGTAATGCTTGGTGCTCAACTCTATATAGAAAGAATGCCGTTGAAGTCATTCCAGGCTTTTAAAACTAATGTCGGATATAAAATATCAATTTTTGTATGTTCTGACAATCCACTAACAGCAACAGCATACTATTCGAATGTTGTACTATTATATACTGCTCCAAATACTATTTTATGCACTTCGGTTAACTGCTTCCTGTCACAAATCGTGTTTTTCACAATTTTGAAAAGTGATATTTAATTACTTATTTTTTATATTTTTTTTAATAATTTTTTAAATTTATAAAACAACTAGTTAGTTCTACAAGAGTCAAGAGAGCTTTAATGAACACACGTTGGCTTCAAAAATTTGGTTTTGGAAAGTTCACCTTTGGTGGTGTAGGAGGTAGAACAACGAGACTCTTTAGTAGTTACGGTAAGAAATAAATAACCATCGAGGAAGTTATCCTTTCGGCTGTCACGGATGATTCTTTTGCGTAGTCACAGCATCGCATTATCCAACCGTACTGTAAAATACGGCGAGATATGGATTCTTTCCGACAACCTACGATGATAGGCTCAATGGTTAGACTGAAGTGAAGCTTCACAGCACTTCTCGAAGCCGAAATTTTACCCAACAAAGTCACACCTACCATTTGATGGCTTGCTGCTGGCTTAATCCAGTACGAATTTCGGACTGCAGGTAAAACGATAACGCCAAAAATCACTCTTAGCAAGTCGACAAAACGCACCAGAAAATTCAGCACTTACACCAATCATGTGCCAATGGAAACGACTAACCCTTCTCCGCGATAATGAGGGCACATGTCGCACTACCGGTGTTGAAGATGTTGATAGAGCAGAACGACGATACTGCCTCATCCGTCGAGCTCACAGACCTCTCTCCTATCGTTTACCACCTCCAAAAAATCTGACAACATAAACCAAGGGGTTGTTATAAGAAGCAAGCTGAAGCCTATACAGTCTTTAACGAAACCATCACCTGCAGAAGCCCAGATATTTGCAATGCACAGATGCATAGTTTCTCACTTACAAAATATGAGAATCAAACATTTTTTATTTAGAGTTATGACGTCTATATTTTCCGAACCAAGATTTTGCCACTTCAGTGCATTCGGGATGCCAGGCGTTCTCTGTAGAAGTGCCGCTCGGAAGGCGTGTCATTAGAGGACGGTTGCAGTGTGCACAAAAATTTAACGTCAACATTTAATGAAGTTCTTTGAGAGGATTTAGCAAAATTGTGACTTTTATCTTCTAGTTTTGATATTCCCTCATCCAACACAATGCTCGACACTAATCATATCGTTTAGAAACAAAAATTAAGCAACTATTTGCCGGAATTGATGAGCTGTCCCGGATTACGCTAGTTAGGAGGCGCAGTCTCTTAAGGCCGATATGTTTTCTCCGCAACATTGTTTTGGGTGGTAGAGCTCACTCAGAAAACCATTCAGTGAATGAGTTCCAGTATAAAATGTTTTTCACAGGCCACTGAACGACTACAAAAAGTTTAGTGAAAAACCGTGCTGGGCGAAAAAAAAGCTACTGAGTTGTGTCTTCACAGAAGCATGCGTCACCGCTTGAAGAGTAGACACCAACGCATTCAGAATGACACAACGCCCCGAAATGGTAAGCTTTACGATCAAATCCAATTTTGAGTTGTGAAAGGGTCAATAGTATCTAAAATTATCTACTCATATAATCCAGCCTAACA